TTTACTTAGCTTAAACCTTTCGTATGTGGCTAATTAAATTTAGCGTTGTAACAGTGCTATGTGATTAGCACGAAAGGAGGTTTAGTTAATTGTGGAATTAACTAATAATCCTAGTGCTAAATAGCACTGAATTATAAATTAAGCAACCGAATGTTGTTGTGAATTTATAATTTAAAGCAATAGAGATTGCTTTGGAATCGGTGCGTTAGTTTAGAAGCAATGATTCGTGCTTGGTATAGCATGTTTCGTGCTTCATTACTAAGCACTGATTCGTGCTTCAATTTCGGAAGCACTGATTCGGGTTTGTGGCCTTTCGGTCAAAACCGAATGGATTTGTAAGTGCTGATCTGTTCGCACCTATGAGATGTGCTAACGTGTAGCACATGTTTATTCTTTATAAGAATAAAAGGATAGCCAAATTAATTGTTGATTAATGCGGTTATGAACGATCGATGTGGTGAACATGAAACACCTTTTGGTGATTTCAGCGCAAGCGTTGGTATTGTACTCGAGAGTACGGTGCGGTATTCACCTTAATCGAACATTGTTGCCGAACATAAATATCAAGACGTTGATAAGTTCGGGTCTACCTCAAAGTATGTGAGGTGAGACAATACTTTGGACAAGTAAGTACCTTTTAAAGGGTTACCCGCATGAAATTCTTACGAATTGTGGGTACGTAGAAAGTTTTCCTACTAATGCCTGAAATGTGGGGGTGTCTTGCCAATGGTGTGTATTGGTTCTTAGTACGAGTCCTATAGTTTGGATGTACATAAGAACGCAATAAATTGAATCAAGAAATTCATCTTTCTTCGAAGAATGTATCTTTGAAGGTCCAATAAGAGACCTAGCACGTTGAAATGAACTTTCGGCGTAGCTATGGTTGAAGGGTGTGAAAGAGAACCCGAGCTCAAAGCTAGACGTAGCAAGAGAGGTAGGATTGAAAAATCCTTTGGTCCAGATTTTCTGACATATAGGCTAGAATGTGAAGTGCATATTCTAACTTGTTTACTAGAAAATAAATTGGATTTTCTGACATGGTTGTTATAAAACGAGCCTCGAACGTATGTAGAAGCGTTACTTCTACAGGTGGACCAACCCGAGAGAGGCTATCGAGAGTGAAGTAGGTTCTATCTTAGAGAATCATACTTAGAACTGGTTGTTCTTCCTCCAGGTTGTAAAACCTCGGGATCCTAAGTGGATCACTAGTCAGAAGATAAAACCGGTTGGTTATATTGAATTAAAATGGTCGGGCTTGTAATTTTAGATTACATGCGACGCGAGTGCCACAATTACTTCAATATATATTCTCTTGTGATGAGAATGAAATCCATTAGGAAGATACTTCCCAAGAGCTGTTTAGCGAGACTTGGAAGTTTATCGAAATGGATGTATCGCTTTCTTAATAGACATGGAACAACCCGACGGTTTTGTGGTTCTGCGTTATGGAAAGAAAGTGTGTAATTGGTGAGATCATTGTATGGGTCGAAACAATTGCCTTAGTATTTGGCATGTGGGTTTTGATCATACAATGATGTGTCACGAGTTTAGTATAAACAAATGTGATAAATGTCTACGTATTGCGTACGATAGACAGAGTTATCACTATTTGTCTATACACGATAAACTCAACATGGGTAGTAACGGTCACATGATCAATTCTACCAGAAACATGTTAAATTCGAGATTTGACATGAGAGGTGTGAGTTTGGCAGATTTAATCTTCGAGATTAAAATCGTGAGAAGACTGTATGGTCTCGTGTTAAGCCAATCTCATTAAGTTTGATTGAATCCTTGTAAAGGATGATAATCAAGTGGTTTGGACACCGTTAGATACTAACGTACAACTAGCCAATAATCACGAAGGTTGTACTTCTCGTGGAGAATACATTCAGATTATTGGTAGTTTAATTGTATCAAATGGGTTGTACTAGGCCAGATATTGCCTTTGCGGTTAACGAACTTGGTAAACATCCGAGTAACCCTAGTGATGCGCACTAGAAGGCAAGAGTGAGAGTTGTGAGATACTTAAGGTATGCTCGTGATTTTGGACTGCACTACGTGGGATATCTAGCTGTACTTGGAAAGTATAGCACGGATATCAAAGGACGCTAAGTCCATTAAAGGCTACGTCTTTACGTAGGCCAGTGCAGTTGGTTGGATGAAAATTCCCGAAATGATTTGTGATAGCTAAGATCTGACGGGATCTAAGCTGAGGGCCTTAGACTCGTGTTGCGAGCGAGTAGGCCGAATGGCTATGCCATTTTTCGAGAATGTTCCTAGTGGTAAACTCGTACCTCCAATTTGTGTGCATTGCGATGGTTAAGCCAAAATTGGTTAAGTACAGAGTTAGATGTAGAATGGTAAGTCTAGACTTATAAGTCATTGACATAATACCATTAAACAATTTCTCACAATAGGGGTTATCTCTATTGACTACGTGATGTCAAAAGATAACGTAGCGGCCGCTAACTCGCTAACCCGAGGGTAAGCAAATGGTTGTGGAGAAATTGAAACGAGGAATGGGTCTAAAGCCCTTGGACTAAAAGTTCTATAGTGGATACCCAACCTAGCTGGTACCTTGGTTCAATGGGACAACTAAATTATGGAACGGAGCGTGTCACTGTGGGGGTCTCAGACTCCCTACCACTCCTCGTTAGAAACAGTGACTCCTGCACGAGGCTAGCATGTTGATGCTTTAATGATTCTTGAGTATGCGGGATACTCAAGAAAGAATCACCTATGTAAGAGAGAAGTGAGGGTCGCTTCAAAGGAGAATTGTTGGGCACAATTCTTTAGAAACTCTCGCAGAACCAGGAACGGTGACCCACGACCAAAATGGGCACACTCATGAGAACAGAGCATGGTTGGGAGGTTCCTGTGTGAGATATGTCATCATCTACACAAACGGCAGTCGGTTCAAAGACATCGCGTTCTACCGAACAGCCAGTAGAGTAAACATTTCTTCACAAGGGAAGGTTCAAAGGGTATAGTGACTCCCTACCTATCCTATGCAGGGATCGACCGTTTGAACACAGTTGTTTCCGATTTCAAATTACCCCGAAAATCAATTTTTTCATTCATGTGGGAGATTGTTGGAAAAATAGCATTAAAATGGCATTTTAAGTGGCTATTTTGTGGTACAATTATCGGTGATGGGGTCCACTTCTAATTTGGGTTCTTCGTAGTGAGACGAAGAGATTGATATATTGTACGCTCAATACGGATAAGTGCTGAATGAGATATTGATTCTCAAAGTAGACCCATTGAGTTGGAAAAATGAAGGGAAAAAGTGAGCTTTTGTCCCACATTGGTTTGGAAAGAGGATTTGACCCCCCTTTTATACAAGAGGTTTTTTAGAGCTTGTAGATTTGTATAGTATAGAGGCTCTCTTGTGCGCGGGGGAGGGGGGTGCAAATCAAATTCCAACTAGAGATGACTTCGGAAAGGCATGATTCAAGCCCGAGCTCGTGTGCGCCGGCACCTATGGGCACGAATGTTGTCCGGAAAATTGGTTGGCCTTACGGGCTAAGTTATGCCAACTTTCGGTATCAATTTTCCAACAGAATAGCCACTTGGGTTCGGCCTGTAAGGCCGAATCGAGGCCACCGAAACAAGTCTCGGCCTGTGAGGCCGAGACGTGACAAGTTTCGGCAAGTAAGGCTGAAACTAAGCAAGCATCAGGGAGACAGACTGGGTTCGGCCTCTAGGCCGAACCATGCCTGAAGGCGAATAGACAAATATGGGATTCAATTCTACAGTTACGGAATTAATTTTTCAATTAATTCCAATTTAAATATTTTGAATTTAAATCCCATGGGATGCCTTGCGGTTTCAGGTGTTACAAAGCCAAGTTTAATGGCCATGATCAATGCTATTAAGGACCTACATCCCTATATAAGAAGGGGTAGAGTGCAACAGATTTTCTAAGCACATAGTGACAAGAACACACAACACAGAAAGTGGTTTCTCGCCTCAAAACTCTGCTTCTACTCCTTTCTTTGCCTAAACTGTGTTCAAACGTCGAACCGTAGCGCGTTTTATCCTGGGAAACCTAGGCCACGACGCTCCTAGCACTTGTGGGAGGTGGCAAATAAGGTTTTAAGGAAAGAGTGGTCTCTTGACTCACGCTAAAAACCCTTACCCAAACACGAGCCATCTTTCCTTCTTTCAGTTTTGGATTATGCTTCTAAGCAAAAATCCTCCTCTTCTGATTTAGTTTGGTTGGAATTATAATCTGTGGATTATAAATTCCATTTGGTTGATATGTATATATCTTTTCTTTAGGTCCACTATTCCAATTATTGAAACAATATATTTGAATATATATATATATATATATATATATATATATATATATATATGTCAATATGAATGTTATTTAAAAATCCCTGATCTACTAGATATTTTTAGCAATATATTTTATTTCAATTGATCTTATTTATACAACAGAAATAAAGAATATGTTTTAATAAACATGTACTATTGTTATAATGAACGTGTAATATTAATCATATTTGATCCAGTGAAAATTTTAATAAATATATATTATTAACATAGTGAACATGGATTTTTGATTGCAATATGGATCCTAATCCATTATATAATTTTCATATATGTATTTGGCGGCAAATCATATCATGGACCAAGGTCTACCTTGCGTGGTGAACCCTACTCCAAAAAGATATCATTTTCTATTAACTGTCAAATTAGTGCATCATGTTTAATAACATTATCATGTACTATATACATAATATTGGTTTTATATGTTTATAAATCTAAACGTCAGGTGATCGCAACACACAATTCTATCACGCGACAACTACGGCTAGAAACAGTAATGGAAGAGTAGCAGCCTTGAAAGACAATCATGGTTCTTGGATTACACAGGCCAGTGAGGTTGCAGAACATGTTTGCGACTATTTCGTCAATCTATTCTCTGAGGACTCACCTAGCAGCCTTGGGGTCCCTTTGAAGAAGTAAAGCAGGCCCTTTTTGATATGACACCTTGCAAGGCCTTGGGTCCAAACGGTTTTACAGCGGGCTTCTACCAAAAAGCTTGGAGCATAGTTGGGGGCAGCCTTTTGAAGTTAGTGCAAAAGTTTTTCGAGGATGGCTTTTTACCGGAGGGAACCAATGACACGTTCATCTCACCAATCCCGAAGGTGGATAACCTAGAAGTTGTGAAGCAATTTAGACCCATCGGTCTTTGTAATGTACATTACAAGCTAATTACCAAGTCAATGACATCTAGGATGAAAAACATTTCTAGGAAACTGGTTGGACAGAATCAAACAAGTTTTGTTCCAGGAAGGTCAATCACAGAAAATATACTAGTATATCAAGAAGTTTTACACTCCATGAGAACTAGAAGAGGAAATTTAGGTTGGCTGATCATGAAGATCGATCTAGAGAAAGCATATGATAGACTTTCTTGGAGTTTCATATATGACACTTTGAATGACATTGGGTTTAACCATGCTTGGAGAAGAAATATAAATGAATGCATCTCAACTTCAAGATTGTCAGTTCTTTGGAATGGTCAACATACGGAGTGGTTCAGGCCAGGAAGGGGAATTAGACAGGGAGACCCCTTATCCCCTCTTCTTTTTGTTTTGTGCATTGAAAGGTTTAGTCACATTATTCAAGAATCAAAACTTGCTGGTAGATGGAAGGGTATTTCGATTGCTAGGAATGCTCCTCTTATCTCCCATCTCTTTTTTGCAGATGACCTTATACTATTTGGGGAAGCGACTCTGGAACAAGCTGTGGAGATGAAGAATTGCCTGGACTGGTTTTGCTCTCTATTTGGTTAGAAGGTTAATTTCCAGAAGTCCTCCATTTTATTCTCAAAGAACACAGCGTTGGATGTTCAGCAAGCTATAACTGATGCTGTTGGTATAGCAACGGTGACAGACCTGGGAAACTACCTTGGTTTGCCATCACAACATGGGAGGCTGAAGAAGGAATCATTTGCGGGGTTTCTCGAAAGGATGCAGACAATCGCAGATCTCTTTCTTTCGCAGGCAAGTCCTTGCACACTCAGTACTCTTGGCTATTCCATATTACACAATGCAGACAACTCTAATGTCGGCTGGTCTTATTGATTCTATGGAAAAGCTCATCAAAAACTTCCTATGGGGTAGTAAAGTAGGTGAAAGAAGGTGCAACTTGGTCAAATGGGATATGGTGACAAATAACAAGTCTTCTGGTTGGCTAGGCATCCGAAAACTCGAACCAATGAACCGCGCCTTCCTAGCCAAACTGGGCTGGAAATTACTACAAAATGACAATTGTCTTTGGACAAATATTTTCAGAGCTAAGTACTCAGCTTCATCCATGGACTACTCTACATGGAGATCTAAGGCTAATAGCTCCAACACTTGGAGAGGCATCCTTAGAGCTAGACCCATTCTTCAGGAAGGAATTAGGAAGCAAGTGAGAAATGGAAAAGGGACATTATTTTGGCAGGACAAGTGGATTGAGGATAGACCTTTAAAGGACATGGCAGTTGCCGAGCTGGCTGATCTGGAATTAGGGAGAACGGTTGCGAGCTATTAGATTCCGGAAAGGGGGTGATCTTGGGACCAATTAAATCATTTATTGCCCAATGAGACTTTAAATTGAGCAAATTGGCAGCATTTATCATCTTTGACGAACCTGAAGCTAATGATAGTATTGGATGGTCTAAGGATATATCTGGGATCTTTACAATAAGCTCTGCTTATGATATAGCGACTGGTGCATCATCTTTGACAGAAGCAGCTAAGTGGAACAGCATATGGAAGCTAAAAGTTCCAAATCGCATCCGCTCATTTCTATGGCTAGTTGCTCACGGGAGAATCATGACAAATAGCAATAGGGTGAAGAGGGGACTGACTACCTGCGACAAGTGCTGGGCATGTGACGATCTAATCGAAGATGTGGACCATGTTCTGCGATCTTATCCTGCAGCAAAGGATCTTTGTAAAGCAGTTTTCCCAGATTCTTTTCAAAGAAGAAGCATGTTACCTTTCTCTATATGGTTACTAGATGGTTTAGCTAGCAAAAGTGATGGCAAAGGACCACTCAATGCAAGCTCCCTGTTTGCCATCACATTGTGGTGGATTTGGAAATGGCGCAATGAAGCTGTGTTTAACAATAATGTGAAACCTCTCTGTTTTAAAATTTCGTGGGTCAAAGCACAGTATGAAGAAGTGAACAATGCTTTCATGAAAGGCAAGGGTCTAATGAATACACAGAATTTACCAGCTTGGAGGCAGCTTCGTTGGGAAAAACCACAAGAAGACTTTGCTAAGCCTAATGTGGACGGGTCTGTCCAGTGCTATACCAACAAAGCCAGCTGTGGCGGCTTAATTCGCGACAGTTCTGAATCTTGGATCCAAGGTTTTGTTTATAATATTGGGAGTTGCTCTCCCCTTGAAGCTGAGGCTTGGGCTATTTTGAAAGGAGTACAGCTAGCCATTCACATGGGAAATAGTAGGATTATTATTGAAAGTGATTCTGCAGACGCCGTCAAATTCATCAAAGGTGGCGCCCCTCTCCGTATTCCGACTCACAATATTCTGGCAGCCTGTAGAAGAACTACGTTGCTTCAAAAGCTGGCGCATGGAAGCAATAACGAGAGAACAAAACTTTGTCGCTGATCGTCTTGCTTTCTTTTCCAGAAAATTTCCCCCAGGCATGCATGTGCTGGCCTCCCTTCCTGAGGAGATGTTGGGCCTCCTAGAAGATGATAAAGAGAGAATCCCCTCCTGGTGTTTTATGTACAATGTACCTCAACTGTAACTTTGTTCCTTTGGGTTTCCCCCTTCCAAATGAAATAAAAAACATAAATCTAAACCTTAATGTGCAATAACCCTAAACTTCATGTCTATCACTTGTATTTTCATTCACTCTATCGTAAGTTCATAACGTTCCTTCTATATGTTCATAACGTTCCTTCTATGTGTAAGTGTGCATATTTTGTACACATTAACCTATGATTGGCTAATTTATTTTTATAAATAATAGACTTAGGATTAGTCAAAAAACTCTTTGACCATTGTTATTTATCATAAGAAGCTTTTTAATTGGGTGGCTCACAATTAATGTGTATGAAGAGGAAGTCAGCTATTAAAGTGTCGTTCAAGCAAATTATGAGGATCTAATTTAAATGAATGGCAGAGAATGATTCGAGCATGGGATGAAGTTATTCACGTGGCTGTTTGATGAAAGGATTATCACTATAAAAAGGAAGGTTACTCGTTGAGGAAACTTGCCTTTTTGAGACTTACTATTTTGAGAAGTGAACACTGCTTGCGAATTGAGAATTAATTATATTATTATTCTGCTAAGCTGCTGTCTGCGCCTGACTCAGTTGAAGTACTATTCGAAGGGTATTAAGGCATGCACGTCACGATCTAGGTTGGATGTTAGGCAGGTTGTTTGTAGTACGGTAGTTAAGACTGTGAGAGTCTAATGTACTGTTCTATTGTAAAACTCCTTGGTGAACATCAATAGTGGATTGGGCAGACGTGGGTTGCCCCGCAGACGCAGGAGAAGCGCTCCGAACTGCGTAACAAATCTTTGTGTACTTGATTTATTTACTGCTTTTATTTTCTATTATTTATTATCACTAAATAACAAAACTTAATCGATCAAAATCTAAAATAAGTATAAAAATCAAGTAGAAGTTCAGGTTCAGTTAGTTTAAGGTTCACGATATAATTTTAATTGGTATCAGAGTCTGGAGGCTTAAGTTACTAGTCTTTCGATCTAGCTATTACGTGTTCCTTATTTTAAAGTATTCAGCGGTTTTCAATACTGTTCTTCCTGTTATTACTTTGTTCAATCTCACTTCTTGCTAAGTGTTTCAGAATGGAAAGATTCAGGCCACTTCTCCAGATTACAGGTGACAACTACGCATATTAGAAGGCTTGAACAAGAACTCATCTTAAAGCTCATGGAGATCAGGTTTGGCGGGATGTACTTACTGGTTGGACACCACCTACGAAACCTGGAGAAAAAGACTGTGATCCACCAGTGATAAAACCTGAAACCGAGAGAACTCAAGCTGAAATTACCACTGCTGGATATAACGATAAGGCTCTTGACACAATCTATTCCTTAATGCATGAAAATCAATTTTTGTTGGTTACAGGTATTGATTGTGCAAAAACTGCGTGGGAAATACTCGAAACCACATATGAAGGTACGAGTTCAGTCAAAGCTCCAACTGGTAAAAGCTGAATTTGAAGAACTACGTATGAACGAGGACGAAGACATTGCGAATTTTCACGGGCACATACAAGAGTTAGGAAATCGAGCAACAATTCTTGGAAAACCTTTCTCCCAACAGAAAATTGTCAAAAAAAAATCCTACGATCCTTTCCTCCGAGATTTAGGATGAAAGTAAATGATATTCAAGAGCATGATGGCTGGAAGAAAAAATCTGTAGCTCAACTGATGGGCAACCTTTGAAATGGAAATTCTTACTGATCACACTACAAAGCAAAAGACAGTTGCGTTTGTCGCCGAAGAACATGATGATACCGCACCAAGTAATGATTCAGTCGCGTTTTTTACTAAACAGTTTTCAAATTTTTTGAAACAGGTATCTCAGAAGAATATGCAAAACAACAAACATAAAAAAGGCACAAGCTTAAACATGTCAAAAACTGGCGCAAAAAATGTCGTGTCAAACTCGAAACCTGCTACTTCACGACCAGCCCGCTCCAAAGAAAAATTAAACAAAGGAATAAGATGTTATGAGTGTGAGGGCTTCGGTCATGTTCGAGCTGAATGTCCAACTTACCTTAGGCGAAAGAAGTCCATGACAGCCACAACTTGGAGTGATGACGAACCTGAATCAGAAACTGCTGACTCTGACGCAGAAGAAATGTTTGGTAATTTTGTAGCCTTTACTGCTAGGAGTACCACATGCTCTGAACCTGGGGATGCATCTGACACAGAGGATGGTGACTACAACTCGGCAGAAGACCTTGAAATACCAGATTTATCTTACGAAGTAGAGTTTAACAAGCTGTATCCCAAATGGGAAGAAAAAATTGTCAAAAAAAAATCCTACGATCCTTTCCTCCGAGATTTAGGATGAAAGTAAATGATATTCAAGAGCATGATGGCTGGAAGAAAAAATCTGTAGCTCAACTGATGGGCAACCTTTGAAATGGAAATTCTTACTGATCACACTACAAAGCAAAAGACAGTTGCGTTTGTCGCCGAAGAACATGATGATACCGCACCAAGTGATGATTCAGTCGCGTTTTTTACTAAACAGTTTTCAAATTTTTTGAAACAGGTATCTCAGAAGAATATGCAAAACAACAAACATAAAAAAGGCACAAGCTTAAACATGTCGAAAACTGGCGCAAAAAATGTCGTGTCAAACTCGAAACCTGCTACTTCACGACCAGCCCGATCCAAAGAAAAATTAAACAAAGGAATAAGATGTTATGAGTGTGAGGGCTTCGGTCATGTTCGAGCTGAATGTCCAACTTACCTTAGGCGAAAGAAGTCCATGACAGCCACAACTTGGAGTGATGACGAACCTAAATCAGAAACTGCTGACTCTGACGCAGAAGAAATGTTTGGTAATTTTGTAGCCTTTACTGCTAGGAGTACCACATGGTCTGAACCTGGGGATGCATCTGACGACAACTCGGCAGGATGGTGACTACAACTCGGCAGAAGACCTTGAAATACCAGATTTATCTTACGAAGTAGAGTTTAACAAGCTGTATCCCAAATGGGAAGCATTACTTAAAGCAAATCGTATAGTGTCTAGTGAAGTTAGAGTATTGCAAAATGCTGTAAACGTGTTCAAAGGTCAAGTAGCAGATAGGGATGCATTAATTAAAGAATACACTGACCGAGAAGAGAAACTGCAACAGGAAATCAAGAGACTGAAGCTGGAACTGAGCACATATATAAAGAGAATCCAAATGATGGATACCACATCAACTCTTGACGAAATTCTTGGTTCAGGGCGGCAATCCTCTGCAAGGTTTGGTATTGGCTTTACTGGAGAAACCAGCAAAGACAAAACTACTTTTGTCAACGCATGTGAACCACATCCAGAAACTACTCCTGAGTCAAGAAAAGCTAAAGAATATCGTGAATCAGCGCCTATCTCTGGCTCAGTAAAACAAACACGAGGTACAATACGTAACAAGTTTCATTATAAGGTATATAATCCTGTGTGTCACTATTGCAGGTTACGCGGACACATCAGACCCGAGTGCTACTACTTCTACAAAGATCAAAGGGCTGAAAAACATAGCCATAAGTTTATTACTCCGTTTATCAAACAAATGTGGGTAAAAAAATTTGATTACATTAGTTTTGTATCCTTTCATACTAAAAGTGCAGGTAGGGATGAAAAATGGTACTTCGACAGTGGCTGCTCACATCACATGACTGGGAACGCAAAGTTTCTAATTGACATAAACACAAGCAACGGTGAAGTAACCTTTGGAGATGGAGTCAAAGGACAAGTAACCGGAGTAGGAACTCTAAATGTTGCAGGTCTACCTAAGTTAAAAAAGGTGCTACTGGTAAACGGACTCCATGCTAATCTCATAAGTATTAGCCAGCTTCGCGACCAAAACTGGAATGTTAGCTTCACCAAAAACAGCTGCAGTGTGACAGATAATGGCAAACACTGTGTTATGGAAGGTAAGCAGTTAACTGATAACTGCTATATCCTAACCAATGACATTCTTTGCTGCAGGTCTAACATAAAAGAGTCTGAGCTATGGCATCAAAAATTAGGACATCTGAATTACAGATCTCTTGATAAACTTATCAAAGTAGAAGGCGTTCGCGGACTACCCAAAATGAAAATTGATTCAATGGGCATATGTGGTGCATGTCAAGCAGGAAAACAAACAAGGACATCACACCCAGCACAAAAGAGCGTCAACACCAATCATTGCCTAGAGCTGATACACATGGATCTTATAGGACCAACTCAAACCGAGAGTATTGGAGGTAAGAAATATATTTTGGTCTGTGTTGATGACTTTTCATGTTTTTCTTAGGTCTTATTTCTTAAGGAAAAATCTGAAACGCTCGGAGCATTCAAAGTTCTGAGTCTAAGACTACAAAACGAGAAAAGTGATACAGTCGTCAAGATCCGAAGTGATCACGGACGTGAATTTGAAAACATTCTCTTCGAAGAATTCTGTAATCAGAATGGAATTACTCACGAGTATTCAGCACCGAAAACACCCCAACAAAACGGAGTTGTCGAAAGGAAAAATCGAACTATTCAAGAAATGGCCCGGGTGTTTTTAAATGCAAAAGGTCTACCTCAAAGGTTCTGGGCTGAAGCCGTAAGCACTGCTTGCCACATTATAAACCGAGTCTATCTTCGACCAAGTATAAAAAAAACTCCGTATGAAATATGGAAAGGTAAGAAGCCGAATCTTAAGTATTTTCATATTTTTGGCTCACGCTGTTTTATTTTGAAAGATAGGAATCCTGTAGCAAAATTTGAGCCAAAAAGCGACGAAGGAATATTTCTTGGCTATTCCATCAATAGTCGTGCATATCGGGTGTACAACAAAACTACCAAAACCATTATGGAGTCAACTAACGTGGTAGTAGATGATCAACCAGATGAATTTTCAAGTATCTTACTACTTGAACCAACAACAGCATCTGCTTCACTATCTGAACCGCCCGAGCCTGGTTCAGGATCTGCTCCAACTCAACCTGAACCTCCTGTGTCTGGTTTGGAATCCTCTACATCAACCCCTACGTCAACACGTGCGTCAACACATGTTACTGCTCAAACTAGTCCGGACCGAAATACTGATCCTGAATCACTGTAAAATGAAGTAGATGTTCCAACACGTATCCAACGAGAACACCCCATTCAAAATGTGATAGGTGATCCCAGTTCCCGCGTCCGAACCAGAGGAATCAAACGTGATTATCTTCAATTGGCCGGATACGCATGCTACACATCTAAACTCGAGCCTAAGAACGTCAAAGAAGCTTTAACAGATGAACATTGGATCAAGGCAATGCAAGAAGAGCTGGGACAATTCGAACAAAACAAGGTATGGATTCTAGTTCCCAAACCTAACAATGTAAACATTGTAGGTACCAAATGGATCTTCCGAAACAAAACGGACTCAGCTGGTAATATAGCAAGAAATAAAGCACGCCTCGTGGCACAAGGCTACTCCCAAATTGAGGGAATTGACTATGACGAGACGTTTGCCCCTATCGCTCGGCTTGAATCAATACGTCTTCTTTTATCTATAGCTTGTACTTTAAAAATCAAGCTTTTCCAAATGGATGTAAAGACGGCCTTCTTGAATGGTTATCTATCTGAAGATATTTATGTAGCTCAACCGAAAGGGTTCGAAGATCCTCATCACTCGGAATACGTCTATAAACTAGAGAAAGCTTTGTATGGCCTAAAACAAGCCCCGGGGGCCTGGTATAAAAGACTCACACACTATCTTCTACAACATGGATATAAACGAGGAGGATCTGACAAGACGTTATTTATAAAACGGTCAGGTAAGAATTTAACGATTGCCCAAGTTTATGTTGATGATATTGTGTTTGGATCCACCCAGTCAGGTGCAACTGACCAGCTAATCAAAGTCATGCAACAAGAATTTGAAATGAGCATGATTAGCGAACTGACATACTTTTTGGGATTACAAATTCATCAGACAAATGACGACATCTTCATCTCCCAAGAAAAATATGCCAAAAATCTTTTAACCAAATTTGGTCTTGATTCTGCAAAAGATGCTCGAACCCCTATATCAACGTCCAAAATATTATTTAAAGATGAAAAAGGAAAGTCAATTGATTCTACCCTATACAGAAGCATGATAGGAAGTCTATTATATCTAACAGCTAGCAGACCAAACATTATGCTAAGTGTCGGGATGTGCGCACGATATCAAGCGAATCCGAAAGAGTCCCATCTAAATGCAGTCAAACATATTATAAAATATGTTAAAGGTATGCTAAATTTCAGTATCTTGTACTCCAATGACACTAACTCAAGACCTGTAGGTTTTAGCAATGCAGATTGGGCCGGAAACACTGACGACAGAAAAAGTACGTCGGGTGGGTGCTTCTTTATTGGAAAAAATTTAGTTGCCTGGCTGAGCAAAAAATAGAACTCAATCTCGCTCAGTACAGCCGAAGCTGAGTACATAGCTGTAGGCAGCTACTGCACTCAACTATTATGGATGCGACAAATATTATCTGACTATGTTCTAAATCAGGAAGACATGACGCTATTCTGCGACAACACCAGTGCAATTAATATTTCCAAAAACCCAATTCAACATTCCAGGACAAAACACATAGATATCCGTCACCACTTCATCCGAGAATTGGTCGAAGAAAAATTGATAATTCTGGACTATATTTCCACTGAGAAAAACCTGGCTGATTTGTTTACCAAACCATTGGACAAGACAAGATTTGAATTATTACGTGTTGCCTTAGGTGTATGCGATCCCTCAATTTAAAGAAGCACACGAGTTCAGATTATTCGGGTACTTTTATTATAAAGTTTTTTTTACTTAACAACAGTTTCTGTTTGTTTGTTTGTGTAGATTTTTTTCCCTCTCAGTCAAGCCCCCTTTCGTAGCTTCTTTTTCGGATCACACATACCATCCCACCACAAGACTTCTAAGGCTAGTTCACCTCTTCCTAAACTTACACCTACACGCCAACACCTCTTCCATATCAAATCAACACACGACTTTTGAGGAGTCCCCACAAATTGCACTTTGGTCCCTCATCCTTCTCTCTTGCTTACCCGAGACAACATCAAGCACCCCCTTGTCTTCCACCTTCGCCATTCACCATTGTCGCACCCTCTCAAGCTTGGACAATGACAAATCCCTTCACTATTTTCACCACACAATCTGAGAGACTTGATCTTTGGCGTAAGATTATCGATGCCGATTCTCCTTTATCAGTTAAAGACACTGATTGTGCTCTAGTCACAGCCATGCACAATCCGGACCTCATTGAAGGCTCACCATCAAAGAGGCTCCGCAGCTTCAAGCACTTGCTAGGAATCTCCCTGATAAACCATGGTTTGTACCT